TAAGTTTCTCCAGGGAAGGGATAAGCCCAGAGCTGTCAGGCCATAGTCCAGTGGCCCATAGTGGCCACACAGGTCCCGGGGGAATCAGCAACATTGGGCCTGACAGCTGGTCCTCCAATGGGCAAGTTTCTATCCTCACTTTAACTTGATTAAGCCTCAAGAACAAAAGGACATAATGTTTCTAAAAACAAACAAGTGTCTGCCTTCTCACCTGCTCCTCCTGCTGCTGCTTCCTTTCTTCCCTGTAGATATTAGCCACACACATTAAAAACAGAACTAACAAGCTAATCCTACTTTAGACATCTACATTAATGCCTTACAAGTAAACACAAGATGCACAGCTGCCATTTCAATGCAACTATCACAGTCTATAAAAGCAAGGAAAGGTTACTTTGCAGGTAGCTTAAATGATGAGTAGGCACCAGTGCTTGAGATCCCAAGTAAAACTCAAATAAGTTAAAGCTCTAAACTCTCCATTAACAGGTAAACCTCTTCTCTGCAATTCTCATTATAACCCAACAGTACTAGCAGCAACAGCCCAAAATTCTTCTCCTCCCTAACAACAGTAAATCTGTAAGTCTTCAGGAAAATAACTACATATGCCAGCAGATGCAATCAGCTCCCGAAGGATGAATCCTATAAAAACATCTATCGAGAAGAAGCACACCAAGATGCATGCAGTCTTTAACAAATCATATGCAGAAGCCATACTCTGAAAGCAGCATTTCTTATTTTACTATTTTGCAAGTTATCTGTGCAAAACCATGCTTTTAATGCATAACTACTCTTGCTCTCCATCAGACCCCAAATTAAAAGGCATAGGGAAGAAAACAGACTTTATAGAGTTCCTCCACTACCCATTCTGCATATATCAGTTTCCTTTACAAAATAATCTCTTCACAAAGCAGCCGTTCAGGCTAGTTCACACCATAAGGAAATGACGTGGCAGCTAGAATTATTTGAAACTGGTTTTACGGCATTGAACTGGAGAATTAATAATTTATCCCCTCAAAAATCAAATACCTTTAAACACCTTCATTGTGCTTATGTATTTTCTCATTCAGCATGAGAATCAGTACTGTGTACAAAACTAAAGAGTACTGGTGAATACAGACAGAAAAGTTCCTTTAAAGACCACTCTGAACAAAAGCAAAGCCAATAGCAACTACTTTATCTCTATGCACTACATCCTTACATATTTCAGTACATCTGAGGCAATGATTAAACAGTTTTAA